TCATCGTCTCCACCGTCGGGGCCAGGCCGACCAGGTCCGTGAAGTTCACCTCCTTCGTAACTTTTACTGGCATACACATGCCCAGCATCGCCGCGCCGAACAGCCACCTCGACAGCGCCGATGGTCCCCGAGCAGCAGGTCGCGCTCGAGGGTCGAAACGCGGTGGGCGGACCGCCGCGCTGCCGGCCGCTGGGCCTCGCGGACCCATGCGAGCTCGCACGAACAGCACCTCGTCGTACGCTTAGGCCGCGTCCTTCAGCGCAGGCATCGTCATCAGCTCCGGGTTGCCGTCCGTCGGCACCTCGCGATTGCGCACGTACTCCACCAGCTCGGCCTTGTTCTTGAAACTGAGGGCAGGAAACACCCGCATGCGCCTCCTTGTCCCGTTGGATGCGGCAGAGCTCGGTGTCCCAGGGGCCGGGCTGCCTGCTGGCCCGGCGGAGCCTGAGGCTCCAGGCGACACGCCCACGCTCACGAGCGCCTCGCCTTCCTCCCGAGGGGTCCTCCTCCTCTGCTTCGCGCCTTCCTCCACCAGCCGGTCGATCAGCACCTTGATGCTCGGGTGCTCCGCCCGCGGGATCTCCAGCACCGTCGCCATGTCCTCCAGCACGTCCCGGGGAGCACGTAGGAGCTGATCTCGATCAAAGAGCAGCGGCCAGCCTTCGGAAGAAGTCGGCCTTGGCCTCTCGGGCCCCAGCTCCCAGCAGAGCCGAGTGGCCGCGTTCCTCGGCGGGTCGAGCTGCTCGAACATCTCCTCGTTAGGCAGCCCTTCGATCCACCTTGGGTCCTCGATGACGTCGCCCGTATCCATGCAAAACGTCTCTCGGGCCCACGCCAGCTTCCAGTTCGGACCGTCGCGATTCGAGGACTTGAGCGCCCTCGCGTTGTAGTCCTGGCGCTCCCGCATCTCGAGGCCAGAGACGTCGACCTCACCGTCGGGCATGTCCCAGTCGTCCTCATCCTCGGGGACGGGGACCACGTCCTCGACCTCCGCGGCCGGGCGGTCTGCCGCGCGGGCAGCCAACTCGGACTTCGCCGTCATCAGCGCCTCCTGCACCTTGGTCTTGACGCGAAAGACCACCTCCGCTGTCGGAGGCCCCGACGGAGGCATCCAGTTGTCGCGGGGGAAGATCGGCATCGAGTAGTGTCCGCCATCCGTCTCGTTCAGCCTCTTCGGTGCGATGCCGAGCTTGTCCGACTTGAACGAGTCCTCCGCGAAGTTGATGTCGGCCCCCATGCCACGCAGCGCGTCCTTGCCGATGAGCAGCTGCAGCACCGAGTTCTCGATGACCGAAAGGGCAGGTAGGCGCCCACGCCGAATACCGACGCTGGCACCGTCCAGCGCTCCTTGGAGATCTGCTTCTGGCCGTTCCCGAACCAGAAGATCGCGAGCTGGGGCCCCTTCTTGATGTGAATCTCGATGCCGAGCGCCTTGCAACGGTCCTCAAGCCTGCTGGCGTACGCATCGCCCGACACCGTGTTGTTGCATGCAGAATCCAGCGCCCCATCATCTCCATGGCCCCCGATACTGGCTGATGACAGCAACACCTCCTGTACGTTCTTTTCCTCCCTCGGCGCATCCGGCGACTTCGTCGTCATCAGAATCTCGCACGAGCGAGTAGTGGTCCCCATCTCGTCGTCCTGCGCTGCTTGCCGAGCGACACCGTCATATATCTCCGCGTACTCCCGTCCGCACATACTGCAGCGAAAGTCACGATCGTCTCCGTCAACACCGCAGTCTGGGCAGTGCGTAGGATACGCCAAATGCCCAAGGTCGAACTTCACCTCGGTCGGCTTCACCTCGAACGCCTGGGGCTGCCCCGTCTCTTCTGGCTTCTCGCCAACGACGTCTGGCTCGTGCACCGCCACGTAGTCTCGGCCACATAGGTCACAGCGCACGTCCCCGTCGTCACCCAGGTACTTGCAGTGCTTGCACCAAGCCATGACGCACTGCACGTGCCCGAAGTTGTTGGTCATCAGTGCCTCGAACACGTCCTTCTGAAGCGTGGCCCGCTAAGCTCCGATGACCTCCGGCGACTCCAGCAGGTCGACCACCATCGCGTCCTTCGGCTTGAGTCGCTGCTGGAGCTTCTTCTTGGCCTGCTCGGCCTTCCACTCCTTGAGCTTCGGGCAGCCCGCGTCGCCGGCCCAGTGGCCCTTCTCGCCGCAGGCATGGCAGTCCGAGTTCTTCTTGTCCTGGTCCTTGTTGCCTTTGCCGAAGCTCGTCATCAATTTCTTGCCGCTGTTCGAGCTCGAGCCTGAGCCACGACCGCTGCCTGTGCCGCCGAACTTGCGATCCTTGCGGAGCTCCTTCACCCGCTTCTTGCTCTCGCGCACCGTGATGAGGCCCTCCATCATCGATCCCACGCCGCACTCCAGGTTCCCGAGCTCCTGCGCCAGCTCGGGGTCGTTCTCGGCCTCCTCGAGCACCATCGAGAGTGCCTCCAGCTCCGCGGCGAGGATGCCCTCGATGTCGTATGTCGTGGTCCTGCTCGGTCGCCAGGGCCTCGTCGACCGTCTCGCTGTCCGCGTCGCCGTCGAAGCTGCCGAGCTCGGCGTTCAGCGCTTCGAGCTCGGCATAGTCCAACTGGCTGAGCCCGTCCAGGTCCTCCGTCACGCGTGCCTCTTTGATCTTGCGAATCACTTTCTTCTTGAGCAACTGCGTCCCGGGCTTGTTGAACGTGATCGGTCGCCGTCGCTCGAACGGGTTGCGCCTCCGCTCCGTCAGGTACAAATTCGGAAAAACCCGCATCATGGCCGGCACAACCTCGCGAATCTCCATGCTTCCGCCGGTCGAGGTCATCAGCATGCTCTTCTGCGTGTCCGTTAAGCCCGTCTTCTCGATCAGCCACCAGCCCGCCGTCCTCGGCGGCAAGGCCACGTCTTCCTCGTCCGACTGGCTACGAGCTTCGCCGAACCTCCTCATCCACGAGTTCAGATCCTCGCCGACCGGCGATGCAGCTGCTTATAGAAGTAGTTCATCACCTGGCCTCTGCGCGTTGGTTCGTCCACCCCCATCGTCGCGAGCACCTCCATCAAGCGGTTGATGCCCGCCATCAGGTCGGGTTCCTCCCAGTGGCCGCGCTCCTCTTCGTCGTGATCCCCGGTCTCGGCTGCCTCAGCAGCCGCTTCTGCACTCACCTCCTCGGGGATCCACGTCCACTGCTTGGCCCGCAGCTCCACCATCGGGATGGACTCACCAAGCGTCTTCGCCGGGCCCGTCAGGCAACGCACCATCCGGGCTGCCCAGCTCCAACTCACGTCCAAGTTGATACCCTCGATCCACAGCGCCACGTCCTTCTTGTATCTCCTCCAGCGCGAAGGGCTGCCGTCCCAGCTGGGGATGCCCTCCAGGTCGCGGCTGGTCCATGCTGGCGCTGCGATCCAGCTTGTCGAGGAGCGCTGGGTCCACGCGGCTCCTCTGCCTCCGCTCGGCCGCGGAGGCAGCGCGTCCGGTGAGAGCGTGCCGCCGCCCATCCCCGGACAGCGCTCTGGAGCGGATGCCGGCCGCATCGCTCCCGTCGTCGCACTCCGTGTACACGCCCAGGTAGTTCTCGGTGTCGCCCTCGGCCGATGGCGCCCGCGCGGCGGCGGGCTCCGCTACCACTGCGGAACCGGGTTGGGGCCCACTCTAGACCTCCCGATCCCGCAGCGGGGGTCGGCGGCGGAGCCCGCAGGGCTCGAGGAAAGAGCGAGCCAGCTTTTCCAGTCCTGCCTGCTAGAACCAATATGTCTCAAGCCGGCTTGGGCCAAGCCGGCGGCAATAAGAGCGAGAGTAGAGAGAGAGAGAGAGAGAGAGGGAGAGAGTAAAAAGATACATAAGGGGCTTAAGTGCAGAGCAGGGGGGCATATCCAATCCGAAGGGCACGTTTTTCCACACGACACGATACCGGCAAGGGCCGCCATGCATGCACCGGGATGATTGCCCAGAGTACCCGGTCACACCATCGTTTCCGTCGAGGGCCGCAGGTTTTCGATTCGCCGACCGCGGAGTTACATTGGAGGCTTCAACACGGCAGCCTCCAGCTCCACGTCCCGGCGCTTTTGCGCCACAGCCAGACCGATGCGCGAACTTTCAGAGCCCGCTTGCGGTTGACCCGGCCAGTTATTCGACAGTTGATCGATTTGGTTCCCGAAAGCTTTCAGCTCCGCACCCGGGTTGCTGAGGCAATCTCGGCCGCGGAGCTTGGAGGGAGGGTTTATTCCAACATCATTGATGACCCTAGGGTTTCCACGGGTCCTCCGCCTCCACCTCCTCCTGCCCCTCCCCCCTTTCCTCCCACTCCTAAGGGATTCCGAAGGAATGCTGAGTGATTTTCGGGGATTCCCTAGGGTTTCCTGGGGATTCAGAGATGCTAGAGGATTCTTTGAGATGCTTGAGGGTTCCATCGGGATGCTTGGGGATTTCCCAGAGATTCCTCAGGAATCTGCGAATTTCCTGAGGGGTGTCCGTCTTTGGCCACCAGCGCCTGGCTACACACGACAAGGAAATCACACCCATTTCATTTGAACCACATCATCATGATGCCCAGCAGTCTTGAGACCGATGTGTTTCCTGGCATCATCTTCTACGTTACAGTTGATGTGGACCCTAGGCCGGAGTCAGCCTGGCACACGTGCAGAAGGAGCATCAAAGAAGCCTGATGATCAGGCTCCTGGAGGCCTTTGGGGTCCGTTTGATCGTAGATCTCCGACGCCGCGATTTGCTCAACTTCTGCGTTTTTCATTGATCTCAGCTTCTGGGAGCAGTTTTTGCGCCCAGCGGGACTGACAGAAAACAATGCGGGATAATTTCAGCGGCCCCTGGGAAGAGGTCAACAGCGCTGGGGACCGCGCGTTGCACAAAAAAACACGACGCCGACCGGGGGTCGGGGGTTGCATTGTCGGACAAGCCGAGCTTGTGAGGACGCTGTGCCTTTCAGGGATCGAAGGGTTTCGTCCTCATCGATGCTCCTGTCAGGGGGGTTCGGCCAGGAACCTGGGGAAGGCCCCAGTGTCCAGGACGAGCTTCCCTCAGGACTTCAAGTAATTTCTTTCATACTCATATTGATCCTCCTCGAACTGCTCAGTGGCAAAATGACGGGCGGAAAGAAGCTGGGGTGTTCGGCGGCCTGGTCGATGTGCTCACGCGATGCTTTCATTGATCGGGAGCTCTATGACCAACCAGATTCGGCGGCCAAGGTGCCCAAGCTGGCCAAGGACCCGATTGTTTTCTTGATTTGCGCAGCTCTTGAAATGCCACTGACGCATGCATCCTCCCTTTTCTCCCACTTAATACATGCGATGCGCTGAGTCTCACGCGGCCGCCTCCTCTTTATTGAAGCTGGATGACCATAAAAGGACGTGCGTTGTTGAGCCCAGGATCGGATTCACCCCCCTTTCCTCGTTATGTGATGAGTCACATCCTCCATTTACCAATGCGCAGTTATACGAACAGTTTTCCATTTGGTTCACGATTCGGTTGATTCGGTTATGTTGCGCATTATCCTTGCCTCCCTATCGCTCCTTCTCTCCCTCTCTCGTTGTCGATCTTTCTGCACATATCCCTCTCTCTCTCTGTCCCTTCTCCCCCTTTTCCGTAGTTACCTCCAAATGTCCTCTCTATCTGTCTCCACCCCCCCGCAGGGCTTGCGAATCTTTTGGTGATCGCCGCAGCGAAGGCAGAAGTATGATGGGCAAACTACTGGGTATCCATCCAGTAACGTCGAGGGCTAGAAGAGAGCATCCTGCACATCCTATGCAGGATATTTCTCGGTCGTATCCTTTTAGGTCGTCGCGACATCGGCATTAAAAAGCATTGCCCCGTTTGATGGCGATGCGAAGCTCGATTGTGTTAATTCCGTGGTTCGTGGTCCTTTCCTATTCTCCACTCTTACCTCACCTGTCTTGTTACCGTCCCTACTTCCCCCCCCCCTGCACTCGCTTCTTGGCTACGTGCATATCCTAGCCACCCGTGTCTGCGGCAGGTCCGCGTCGCGTCCGTGCGTCGGCGACCACTTCGCCGGCGTTCACGGCTCGACGCCACCTTGGGCGTTGCGTAATGGAGGGGTCATAAATGGGGGGGTGGCGAGGGTGGTCCGAAAAGGTACCCAAACGGTACCTAAACGAGCCCCCTGGGGCTCTGGAGGGGCCCGAAAGGGGCACGAAAGGGGACCTTTTTTGACCCCCCCATTTGTGACCCCCCCATTAAGCCACGCCCAACCACCAGTGGCCCCAGCACTGGCCGATATGAAATAATCGGCGCTATCGGAGAGCCGGCTGAGCAATCCACGCGACGTCAGGAACCCAAACGCAGGTCGTCAAGGTGCGAGCGTCAGTGCCGTCCCTGCCTCCCCTCTGCGCTCCTCCTCGGCCAAGCGCACATTCCAGCCATCCCCAGCACACATAGCTTCAGGAGGGAGAGAAAAAAAAAACACTGACACAATTAGTCGTTGATTCCCCAGAAAATACGGGAAAATATGGGAAGTGGGGGGGGAGAACAACCCAGAAAATATGGGAAAATATGGGGGATCTTTTTATTTGTGTGTATTTATTTGTGTGTCTCAGGGCCCCTTCAATACAGTTGTTCATCTTGCCCAGCCCACGGGCTCAGCGACTGCCTCCCTCCCAGCATTCTCTGGGGGGGGGCGGGGGCAAAAAGATGGCGATGGCGGCTCTTCCCGGATACGTTCTGACCAGGAATGCGAGGCGAACTCCTTTTCCCCTCCCCGAAGGGGTGCGGGGCAGGCGAAGGGTGTAGGTACCCAGGGGTGCAGAGGGGGGGGGAATCCCGGGTCAGATTACCGCCCCCCCCCTCGGGGTCCAGCGGGTCCCGGGGGAGTTCCCCTTGCGGGCAGGGGGACAAGGGGACACCCCCATCTAGGCGTGGCGCCGAGGGAAGTGTAGATGTATCCCCAGACATCCGACGAATCGATCTCTTCAGCACGAGCGCCCAGGGGCCCCAACCCTTGGATCCTCAATCAACAACAGATGAGTTGCCTCTCGGTGCAATGCTTTGCTATGCGATGCTTCACTTCACATACGCCGTGCTGCTGCACATTGCTCCGCATCACATTGCGTTTCGATGCCTTGCATCATTATGCATTGCGGTAGTTGGTTTGCATGCCTGTGCGTGGCTTGCACATTCCATCTGCACTACGTGATCCCAAGGGCGCCCTCGAGGGCGCGAAGTAATTCGCGCTTCGCGGTTCGGCTCCGATTCCTCCTCATCTTCCTCTTCTCCCCTGGGAGGCGGCGCGAGAGCGCGAAGTTATTCGCGCTTCGCACTTCGCGCAGCGCGAAGCGCGAAGCTGGGAGCCCTTGGTGATCCGAAGCCTTATCGGTTCGAGTACGAAACCGTTGTCGTGTGGCTTCGTGCCTGACCGCTGCCAAGCGATATTCCTTAAGGGGGCGCCTGCACGCACTGGTTTGGCCCCGTGCCCCTCCACATCCTCGCGGGCTCCTGGGTTCACCCCCAGAGATTGCTTCCAGATCGTTCCCTCAAGGTTGTTTCACGTGTCGGGCCTTGGGAGACACTCGCCCGACATTGTTTCGACATTATTTCCACACTCTTTTGACACTTTTCCGGGTGCTCGAACTTATTTCTGGGATGCGGTCCTTAAGTAGGATGGGAACAACATAAGTACACGCGCGGCTTCGCGCAATCCACCAGTCCATCCAGAAACGATGCCCAGGCGAGTTGCCTTGATCAGGCATGTCGGGGAGCTCGCAGTATGATAAAGATCCGGAGGCCGCCATACCCCAAGAGGGCGAGGATGGACAGGATGGAAGAGGAACAAAGGAGAAGGAGGAGGATGAGGAGGAGTTAAAACGAGAGGATGAGGTGGAGGAGAAGAAGGAGGAGGAAGAGGAGGAGGAGGAGAAAGAGGAAGGGGGGAGGGGGAGGAGGGAGGAGGGAGAAAGGGAAAAGGCGGATGAGGAGGAAGAGGATTACGCGGATGAGGAAGAGGAAGAGGAAGAGGAAGACGAGGAGGAGGAGGAGGGCGAACACAAAGGCTAGAGGCCTCTTGGATTGGTATCGATTTGTATCAGAGTCTCTTCGGATGTCTCTCGAGCGTTTCTTGTCGGCCTGTTGGGGCCTCTTGGGGGCCTCGTGGCGGTCCCTTGGGCCTCTTGGAGCGTCTTGGGTGCCTCGGGGAGTCTCTTGGGGCCTCTTGGGAGTTTCTTGGGAGCCTTTGTGGGACATCTTTGAGGCCTCTTGGTGCCTTTTGCGGCCCTTGTGAGCACTCTTGGGAGCCTCGGGGGCCATATGGGGGCCATCTTGGAGGTGATCGATCAAAGAAGGGGGAGGTTTCAATTAGCACCTCCCCCAGGAGGCCAACATATGGCCACGACTTGCGGTCCAATCGATAAATTGGGCTTCCTCGCAAAGGCCATCTTGGACGCTCCAACCCCTCGAGGAACGCCCCCTCCGAACCCAGGGGAAGAGGATAGGGGAGGGGCAAAGCTACCCTCCTAGATAGGAAGCCGTCTAGCTCACTCCCACCCACCCTCTCCACACAGAAGTAGCACCCGAGTTTCAGCATATCGCTTAGGAGCGCCACACATGCCATCCGCGCCACGGGTTCCAGGTGCACCAGGCACCCTGAAGGCCGAAGCGTGCCAGGCGCGCCAGGTGCGGCACGTGCTTCACGTGCGCCAACTGTGCCACGTGTTCCAGCTGCGCCAGGTGCGCCAGCTACGGGGAGCCGATAGGGATCCCAGGTACCTGGGGCCCTGGCCCCAAAGAGTTCATAATCGTGAACACCCTTAAAGCGAAACCACTCACGCCCAGAGGGCTGGTGGGATTTCGGATGTGCATGTTGATGTCACGGGGACCTTCAGCAACCCTTATTGGCAAGAGATCTCGAAGGCATTCTCTCGAAGTTACGTTGTGATGCCACGTCGCTTTTTGATAGCAGGACGGGGGCCGTCTTCCGCAAGTCCATGCTAGAGATCAAGGGCCAGATGAGCGAGGCAACAACAAAGGTGGTCAGAGACGTTGCGTTACGACAGGGGTGAGACAATCCTCCCAGTGGACCGCGAACTCTCGAATTGACGAGCCCCTATCGCCGCACAGAAACGTCGGGCAGCATGACTCCGCACGACAGTGGACGAGCTCAAAACCGCAATCTCGCCTGCCGAAGCTACCGCCAACACGCTGAACTGGGCGGGTCTACACTGGTGGAACTGGCACCCCAAAACTCGGCCATCGTTGTCATCACGTCAAGGACCCAGCGCCTTTCAGAGCAGTCAAATCCGCCATGGAACCCTGGATGGACGCATATGGCTGCAAACATGACGAGCACGACCTTCTTCAACACTCGAAAGGTCCCGATCGAGTCTTCATGTTCATTTTCACGGAGGCGACCACTTGGCTACAAGACGTTGTAGGCATGTTAACCTTCATCCTCGGGAAGCAGGAGAATGGAGACGGCTCCCTGTCCCGGGGGGAGTGTACAGTCACCCCACCTTTCATCGGTTTGGATCGATGTCCTCGCTAAGTACGGTGCGAAACTCATTTAAAAGAAAAGCGACAACGCTTCTGATAAGCATGTCTCTTGAATGACGATGGCGAGTTGACAGGGAATGTGGAACCATTAGCTCTGGCGGGACCCCGCTACTGCATCTCCACGGTGGTCGTGGGCGGCCTCAACTCTTATACGGGCCCTCCGCAGCTTGCCACAATGCCGACATCTACTCCCTGAGGATCTGGAGGTCGACGTACGCCATGGCCCCGCTCATCGCCAGCACTGTGTGCGATGGGGAAAACCAGAGTTATCCTTCCTACACATTACGCCGAACAGTTGTTTTGTGTGCTTCATCTCTCTTTCTTTTTTTGTTCTCTCTCTCTCTCTCTCGTTTTCTCTTTCTCTCTCGTGCTGGTCACTTCTATGGTCAATCGAATGTCGACCCCGCGCTAGAATCGCACTGTGACGCCGTCATCAGTGACCTTGGAGGCTTCCGCCTCCATCGCAGGAACGCCCCACCTCGCCTTACATCCTCATAGCTCCCATCTTCAAGCTGACCCGCAAACGCTTCCTTCGCCAAACCAACTTCGCCTTGCTGTCCATGCGCGCGACGTGGGCGAAGCACAAGCGTACCACCAGGGGGCGGCGAAGACCGCTCGCGACAGACAGGCGTTGTTGAGGCATCGAAGGGCGACGCACTCCACGCTCAGTTTCGGGCTGCTTCTCTGGTGGCATGACGTAACTCGTTCAGCGTTGCACAACTCATCGCTGGCGTCCGTGTTCCACAGAGCCCAAGGGCTCTTTGCCACGGAGCGCCCGGAGCAGCTAGAGCCTTGTTTGGGGCGCACGCCGGGCAGCACAACTGCCCTCTCGCCCCCTGCTGTTCCGAGCTTCGGCACCTGATCGCATATACGTCTTCGCGAAAATGCTGGCTGCGGGCGCAGCGGCCTGTTTGCGCGC